AAGAAGGTAATTTCCTGACCAAATTAAAAAAAAAAAAATTAAAAATTTGACTTCTGCTGAACGCTTTATATGATTCCTTAACTTCAGTTTCCACAGTGTAAGAGGCAGTGATTGTTGCTGACCTCAGTGTTTCAGCACATATTTATCCAGAGAACTATGCAGTAGCTCTCTTGACAAGGTCTCCACGCAATAGGAATTTCTCAGTTGTTTCCCACTGCCTTTAGTTTTATGCTAGCAATGCACCATCAATTTTGATTGGACAGAAATAGGAATTTGAAAAATACAGGTATACCAGCACAACCTTTGTATATCTGTTTAAAAATGGGTAAAACTAAATTATTTAAAACCTGAATATAAAACATTACTTTTGTTTCAGAGAGAACTGAGGTAAAATAATGCATTTTTGTTAATTCATGAGGTATTTGGTAAGAAGGAATAACAAAAATGTTTTGTGAGATTCCACTAAGACAGTCAATTAGATAGATGTTAAATTCTATCCTGAAAATATTCTAAAATGTTCAGCTCTAATATTTTTACTGAATTGGAGTACAGTGCCTTACTGAATCAAACCTACCTGAGTTCTCTGGAACTCAAGGGGGTTCAGGGCTCCAAGGGCCCCTAAGGTTCAGTATGTTAATTAAAAATTAAGGAGCACAAATAAATTCCATTTATACTTGAAGAAAATAAGAACATGTGTGATAGCCTTATAGGGTCTTGCAGATTTTGTCTCAGAACTCCCATGATGTATTATGCTCCTTTCTAGAACTGGATGCATCCATATCTTGATTTTGCTGTTCTTTTAGTACCTGAAGTTCGAAGAAAAACTAAAGCTTAAGAATGATCAGGTTCCAATATCTACAGTTAATCCTTTTTTCCTCTACTGGCACTATCCTGTGGGTTAATGGCTAGGATTGAACCAGGCCTTATGCATAGAAAAATGCTATTCCTTTTCAAGACAGTAGAATCTAGCCTCAATAAAAAGAGAATAATTGAAGATTTAGCTTATAAATATGGTGTTGTAATCTTTCTCTTTGAGGAGAATTTTTTTCAGTCATTAAAAAAATCCCAACAACCAGTAGTCAAGTTAAGAAGAGAGCTCCAAGGACTTTTAAATAGACTTCATACTTCAATTCAAGCTGGAAGTTCCCATATTTAAGAGAACCAGGTTTCTTGGGAAGTTTCTTCTAATTAAGAGATGAATTACTAAATCCTTTGGGTGTTTTTCAAAGGTATTCATGTAAAAAGTTGTTTTTTTGCAAAACTGCAAAAAACTAGGGACTGATTGGACCTATTTCAAACCAAGCTGCAAATACCTGTAGCTGCCTGGAGGCATTTTCCCTGTCCTTTCATATTTGGAAATTACAAAATCAACACCTTATGGGGATGCATTTATGCTTAAAAAGAACTAAATAATCATATTTCTCTCCCTTTTGTACTCAAACCACAGGAATACTCTCTGCCAGACAAATCCAATCCAAGCAGACGAATGTAAAACTGAGCAGAGCTGCATAGTTCACCACTCAGTCATCAAAAAAGCAGTCAGACTTTCCTGTGTGACACATGAGCTGCATTAATGTTAAAAAATGTATTTTTTACTGTTTGATTTGAAAGATGGCTTTTGCTTTCCAAAAAGTTGATCCTTTTCAGGTTCCTTACATTCAGCAAGAAAAAATGGGTCCGATTCTGACACCAGTTACATGCAAAGAAGGTAAGAAGGTAAGGTAAGCAATATCAGCATGTTAATTAGGCCATTTTCTTCAGGTTTTCACAGCTTTAAGTAATAGAAATCCTTGCAAGTTCTCCCATATCTACACCGATACTTTGCACAAGTAAGTTTTCTGGTTGCAAACACTTGAAATGTTGAAAAATTGTGTGAATGAGAGTTTGTATAAGGAAATTATTACACTATTCATAACTCAACTAAGGACTAGACCTTATTTTTCAAGGGATGCTGTGCATTTTGTTTTGATTAACATATTAGCTCTGGCTTTGTGTTATCAGGAAAGAATAACCTCTGAGCCTGAAACATAAAACACAATATCTGCCTCTTTTCCCATGACATTAAAACACCTCAGTAATACCCATTTAAGCTCCTCTCCTGCTAGTTTTTGAAATTAAAGAAAGAAAGCAAAAATTATATGTTGTTATTAAAAAAGGGAAAAAAAAGAAACAAAAGAAGAGTGGATTTAGAGTTATCTCAATGCATCAATAATGCATTCATTATTGAATATAATTTCAATTAACTGTATAAGATACCTACAATGAACTGGTAAACTTTGAGAACAGAAGGAAAGTAAATACTAATACTGTATTGGATTTTAGGAACTGTTCTCTTTTCATCACATGAATCTCTATTGTTCAGTAAAAATTCCCAAAGTCTTCTGTTGCCATTGAATTCATAAATAGTTGGGATTGGGCCTTTATGGGGCTGTTTTAGAATCTCATTGAGACAATACATAGATACCTGCCATCCTGAAGTATTCCTCAGCACTCAAGTTTAAATTTTACCTTAAGTGAAATAAAGACTGATGTAAGGTGAAAAATAGTAATTCCTTTATTTGGATTAAAGCATATTTTAGGAAAAAACTAAACCAAACTAAACCATACCAACAAGTGCCACCACCACTCCCAAAAAAATTCACAAGACAAACAAAAAAAAAAAAAACACAAAAAAAATCCAAAAAACAACACAAAGGAGAAACTCATGATAACCAACTAAAGCTATAAAGTTTATCCGTGTATAACATTAGGGCTAAATCTGTTACCTTTTGTAAAGAGACAAATAACTTTGGGGAAAATCTGGATGCTTGCACCATAAAAATTCTTTCACTAGTAACCTTTAAAGCATTAGAAAAATCCTCCAAAATTAACTAAATCTTTAAAAAGCTTCCTTTGCTTTCAGACCCTCATTTCACTAACAAATTGAAAAGCAAAGAAAAATAAATACAACAGTCAAGGTAAAAAAACCCAAGATTGCTACTTCTGCTTCCAAAACATACTTAAATGGTCTTTTTCCTCTGCTTCTCACATCCCTTTGACACAAATATTGTAAGCTTTTATTATTGTTCCCTCTGCTGCTTGTTTTTGAAGTCCTTAACATTAAGAGGAGATGCACGATGTAGGGGTTGCTCTTTGTTCCTACAGCACAATAAACAGCAGCACAAGTGGCTCAACTCCTTTATTTTTTTTAAAGAATCCAGTTGGTAGCACTTAGAGTAAAACATAAACTCTGAAGACTTTTGCTTTATCTCAGGCTATTTATTCAACAAACCATGGACAAAATAATTGTCATTACTTTCTGCATTTCCTTGATTTTTCTTGAGGGTGTTGCAGTCAAATGCCAACAAAGTCCAGACTTTAGGGTTCCGACTCCATAGCCTTATGTAAATTGACTGATGATTCCACCAGAAGAGTTCTGCTTTCTACAGCTGAAATTTTCAATTTTTTCCTAAGGATTACAATTGAAGAACTTTATTCGTTCTTTTTGCGATCTTTTTTAGAGAAGAAAAATTTAAGACTTTAAAATTTCTTGCTCTTTATTCTGAGAGTTTTGTTACTTTCTTCAGCCTCAGATCACAACAAACATCTCTTTGCCTTGGTACAATGCAGTAGTTTTCACCCTTAAACATTGAACTCTTTTTGCAAATTTATGATTGAGTTTTGTCATTTCAGTGGTGGCTCAGTTATAATATTGAACTGACTCGAATAAAAAATTATAAAAATTATTTCCTATAAAATACTTCTGTTGCAGGCAATGTCATCACTTTCCCTTTCTTTTCACCAACATTTACTAGAATAATTCAAAGCTTGCTACAGTTTTAAGTCTTCTGAGCCAGTGATAAAACAATATGTGAATCTGGAAACACTGACAGGATGAAGTGAAAAAGCTAACAGGGAAAAAATAAGCTTTTTCTTTCCCAATGAGGAAATAACATATTAAAAAAAAAGGTAAGTAAAATATTCTGTTTTCAAAAACTGAATCTGGTTTTAAGTAACACATTGTCCATATGACCCTAAAAAACAACCTATGCCAATCAGCAAAGCCAGATTATTTAGCTAAACTTCACAGCTGTTCTCACTGCAGACAAAACCCCGCAGATATTTACAGTAGTTACAAACACCTACACTTCCTGAATATTCTACCACCTCTATGAGGAAAAGGTATAAATAATAATGAGAAGGATGATTTTTCAGATAATTTGACTTATACTTGTTCCCAGTTTCTGTCCTATTATCTGCTACATTTAGGGATCAACTGAAGAAGAAATCATGAGCTGTTGAAGACAGCAATTCAGAAGACAGAAATAAGTTTTTGTTTAATACCCTGCCAATGCTGCCACTGTGAACACTAACAATCAGGAATCATCAGTGCCAGAGTCTGCAATGGATTCAGTCCAGGGCTCCAGATCCAAAATCAGTCTGTCATTGACTCTTTGTTAATATATAAATCATTTACTGAAGCATAGCCAGTCAAAACAGAATACCATTTGTGTGCACGTGAAAGCCTGGCTGCTCCTGCCAAGAGTGACTCATGTTTAAGGAGCACAAAGAAAATGAAGGCTCAAAATGCATATTTAAGGTCGGATTTTTTTGTTGCTTGGAACTTGTATCTGCATTTTTACCTGTGCAAAATACTGCTTGGTTGTTCAGAAAGTGAAACACTCACATTAAGGTAGAAGCAGTACGAATTGTTAAGGAGTCCTCAAGCTCACAGATTATACCCTGCATGTAAAAAAACCCAAAACCAACAGCTTAATAAACTTGGTGGTAAAACTTGGTGATGAGGAAAAAATTTTTTTTTTCATTATCTTTTCTGTATATCATTGCAGAAAAATAAAGGTTTTATAAATTGACTCATATACTCATTGTTTTTCCTAGATGTTGTACTAACAGAGATAGAAGAGAGCAGGACAAAACTACATTCTGTGATCATCACTTAATGCTGGCAAATGCAATCCTTAGCTTTTTATTGCATATAGTACTGTAATGGGCAAAAATACCTTTCAGGATCAGAGATGTATTTGTTACAGCAGCTGTACAGAAAAGAGAAGATGATAACTTGCAAAGATGCCCCAAGAAAGGCAAACAACTGCTAATTTACTCCATATTCAGTTCTGGTTCTCTGCTTGTCATTAGAATTAAGACTCCCTTGCTTTGACGCAGAGAGGTATGACCTATGAAAAACAAGATATGGTATACTTTAGGATTTGTTGTAGAGAAACACCTCTAAAACCATATAATGATTTTTCTGACACGTCCTCAAACATCCAAACAGAATTCAATTTAGTTTTATATGACTATTTATTTTATATATATTTATATCAATTCAAGCATTTTATTTTATTTTATATTTTTAAATGTTTATAACTTAAATAAAATTAATATTAAATTAAATTAAGTTAAAAACTAAATCTATAATTTATCCATATCTGATTACATAAAACAATATACATATTTGTAGTATTTCCATGGTTTTAATGTAGAAAGTAATGCAATATATTTTATGAACTCTGAAAAAAGAAGAAAATCTGTAATGGATTATAAAACATTGGACCATAACACAGCACAGAACTTCCAAAGCATTACAGAATTGAAGAGTAGTTTGAGTTGGAAGGGACTTTAAAGGTTATTCAGTTCCAACTCTCTTGCCATGGGTAGGGACATCTTTCACTAGACCAGGTTACTCAGAGTTCCATCCAATCTGGCCCTGAACACTTCCAGAGATTTACATATTATATTAAACAGTTCTTTATGCAAATAACTCACATCATCCAATCTTCATCAAAATTTCATCTCTGAATAAAACAAAATGTTCCTGAAAAAATACTTTTTCTTGTTTCTTTATTCTCTAAAATGAAGTCCATCATTCTATTCATGCATTTAACACTGAAAAGGACAAATTTACTTTTTTTAGTATTACTATCTTAAACATTAATATAATAAGAAAGAATTTGCCATATCCAGCTTTTAGAAAGTAGCCTTCTATTAATACATTTTATGCTCAAGCATATCATCAAGTGTAACTCATATACAGCCAGGATGGCTTCATTATATTATATGGTTTAGTTATACATATAAAGCTATATTAAAAGATATTTTTAGGATATAATGAAATAACTTTTAGACTGATGAAAAGTGTTAGAGATTGTTAGCTAAGCAGTCATGAGAATCAAGTCAATTATATGTACTGTTCTTTGTTCTGTTTTATTATGTGAACTGGACATTTAGGTGGGTGAAAATATTCCTTTTCCTTCCTCCTTGCTGTAAAAAAAATGTCATAGCTAAAGTCAAAAATATCATTAACAGCTTCATATGGTGATTCACTGTCAATTTTCAAACATTTGACAACTCATCCTTTTAATGCAGTTTCCTTTCTGACTACTACATGAATAGAAAACAGGGTTATTTCTTTTTCATAACTGGTAACAAGCAGCTATTGAAAGTATTTTGCTATTTTCATGACTTGAGGGAGGAGTGTTTGCAGACAAAATACTCTTCCTTTTAAAGAAAGAAACAATTTTAAGAACAAAAATTCCCCAAAACTATACAACCCCAACCAAACCATTAATGGTTTTCTTCTCTAAAGGATACATTTATGATATACTGGAAATTCACAGAAGTGTTGGATTATCAACTAGTACCAAGATGCAAGAAAACTGAAAATCAAGAGATCTAAATGGATAATGTCTGATAAAATTGGAAATTTTTTTTGATTCTTTGTATTGGCCATCACATTTCTATGTTTCTAAATTGTTTCATTTTTAATAGCTAATCTTTTTGAAGAATCCTATTCCTGCAATCTGCACCAGAATATTTTTAAGATAATTGCATTTTCAATCTTTAGGCAAATGATAACTTATAAAATGTCTTTAATCTCTTCCCAGTTCTTTGACTGATTGTGCTTCTCCAGGATTGTGTTAGTGGCAAGACCTGATTGCGATACTCTCAGATACCATAAGAACACTTCAAAAAAGTTTGTTTCTTTCCTCCAAAATTCTTCAGCTAGGCAATGAGAAACTCACAGCTTTTTCCAACTGCACCAGAAGTTCCAAGGCTGCACTCTGAAATCTCACTGACAGCTGAGAACAGATCAGCACTGCAATAAAGCCAAGTCTCCAGCAAAAACTGCTCACTATCAATAAAGATTTTCAGGTGCTTCTGGTAAGCCACTGAGGTCATATCAGAATTAACTGATTTACATTATTCTTTGTAAAGAACTCTCTGGTTTATTCATGTTTTTTTTTTCCCTGACTAAAAGCATTATTATCTCAATTTTGAAGGAATTGACAGTTATTTTGTTTTTTAATGAATATCATTAAAAGCTTTCTTTCACAATTTTGTTCCTTGATATATATATATATAACTTGAAATATAAAATTCTTAATTTGAGTAAAATATTTTTAAAAACTGAGTGTAGATTTAACTCTTTCAAAGCTCTGAGATTGACATTGTTTCAGTACCATGTTTCTTTAAGTTTAACTTGAAAACAATGCAAAACTTACCACTCACAGAGTAAGGCTACATCCTTGACACTTATGTTATTGCTCTGCCAAGATGTACTCAGTGGATTCAGTCTTCAATTTATTCACACAGTAAATGAATTAAATGAGTAATGAATCCTATGTAAATGGGAGGTTATCAGCCTGTTTGGACCAGAGAGAGGGTAGCTGGTGTTCAATCATGACCTATGATGAATGCAATTTGACACACATGGGATAGTCCTCTTCTTGTCCTTTCCACTCTGCCTCCTGGTCTGTTTCCTTCTCTCTGTAAATCAATTCTTTTCCTGAGGGAAGAACAACCAAAGAATAAAAAGGGCCATAACAGACCATGCAGCAGTCATTTCTAGAAAGAAAGCAGAGAGCCTAAATTTAGTCTGTTTGGCCATTCAGAGCTTCTGTCTAGGGTTTATTAGCATTCCCTAAGATCAAGAATTCTGTTTTCCTCCTGGTTTTGCTTGAACCTTGACCTTGTTCTCTGCATTGAACAGTAACAGGATTGCTGTTATAAACATCTATGACCCTTTGGTCCAATTCCATCCAATTAAATTTACATAGTGCTAAAACATTCTTGTTTAGATTTCAGTTGTCCATCTAAATATAACAACACACTTCACCATCTTTTATGATATAAACATATGTCTACTGCCTGTGTGTTGGTAATACTAACAGCAAATTCCACAATTATGGGATGCAACACCTTTTCACATCTACAGCCTTTTGTGCCTACTTCGTATGACTTTGGATACGTCTGCCACTTTTTAAAAGCGTTTTGAAAACTCTTCTCTCTGTTTTCATGGATTAGGTTCCAAGTGACTGTAGTTACTCACAAATATTAAATACATAACCAGTGATACTGGTAACGTATTTAATTTTTTATACATATACATATATATACACACATTGTTACATACTATCTAAAGCATTAAAATTCAGTAGATTATGACTTACCAAAAATTAAAACAGAAGATCTATTGCAAAGGAAAACAAAAGCTCTTTCTCAAGGACAGAAAGAACAGGTACACAGTTCATAAGTCAGTGAAGTATGCAGAAATTTTGTGATTCAAAGACTTAAAAAGAGCCTTTAGATCATTGATGATCATCATCATTATACATGTTCACCTACAACAAGGGCCAGAAGGAGGATCTGGGGAACTACAGGTCCATCAGTCTGCCTTTGGTGCTGAGAAAGGTCATGGAGCAGATATCCTGAGTGCAATCACCCAGCACGTGCAGAACAGCCAGGAGATCTGGCCCAGCCAGCGCAGGTGTAGGAAAGGCAAGTCCTGCTTGGCCAACATGCTCTCCTTCTAGGAGGATAACCTGCCTAGAGGACGAGGAAAAGGCTGTGGATGTTTTGGAGGTTGTAGAGAGGTGGATCTCCTTTCCCTAACAACAAGTGATAGTACGAAAGGAAACAGCCTCAAGTTGAGCCAGGGAAAATTTAGATTCCATATTAGGAAAAAAATTCTTCACCAAAAGGATTGTTAAGCCCTGGAATGGGTTTCTGAGGGAAGTGGTTGAAATGCCATTCCCAGAGGAACCTAAAAGGCATGTAGACACGGTGCTTAAGAACACCATGTCTACATGGTTTATACTTGTTGGACTAGATAGCAGTATGTTTACATTGGACTTGATGATCCTAATTATTAATTATTAATTATTTTCCAGCCTAGATGATTCTATGGTTTGCTCCTTCATTCAAAACTCCATGCTGTGACTGTGCATGACTTCAAGACCCACAAACTAATGCTGTATTCACAGAGGGAGAAGCACCTTTAAAACTCGTGTTTTTTTATCATAACTTTCACTAGGTTTTTGGACTGCAACAGTGAAATATTGTAACAATGAAAGCCACAGCAAATGACAATATTGGGTTTCAAACCCCCTCACACAACCTGGGAAAAATACAATCCCCTCACAAAACTCTTCTTTGAATTAACAGGTCATGCACTACCCATGTTTTAGTCCAATCATAATTAATAATAGAAGTACATACCATCTAAATGTGTTCAAAGGAGTATTTATGCAATGTTTGTTTCTCTTAATTTTTTCAGAAGTAACATTTGGCAGATTGGAGTTTATTCTGAATAAATGGAAAACAGCTAATTTTCTATCACTCAATGCATTTTAGGCACTTAATAGCAATGTTCAACCATTGAAGAAAATTGTTCTGTTCCATATTCCAAGGGAACTCAGGGGCAAGGTGGGGGGAATGGTGTGGGGAATGCAAACTTCTATGTACATTTTAATGCTTCCAGCAGATTTAACTAAACTTTTCCAGATTCTAAACTATATCTCCATGGCTGAGCAAATCTCTGGTAGAGATAAAATTCTGCAAATACATCTGTTTCTTAAGAAAGGTACTTATCTAACCACTCAGTGCAAATATCTCTGAAAAGCTAAGCTGTCTCAGCTCCCTTCCATGAAAATGAAGGCTACTCAGCACCTCAGAGAATGAGCATTAAGCTAATGCAGTTGATCACCCATTTCTGCTTACATTTCAATGCAATTCTTTAGATAAAATAGAAAGAAAATCTTTAAGAAAACATAATCTACTGCAAACAATTTATATTAAGCTCTTAGTTTATCCAAAGATATCTGTACCTCACCTGCTCCTATTTGAAAAGACTAGAGTTAATTAATGATACCTCATATAGCTTTCCAAATTACATTCATGTTTATGAAAACAAGAATTACCTGGAGAAAGTGGAAAAGCTGAGCATCAAACTTAAGCCTTTTCATAATCAATTATGCATTTATCCAAGAATCAAATTTTCTAGTTTCATTACAAAAAACAAACAAGCAAACAACAGAAAAAGTATAGGACATAATTATGCAGAAAAGAAGGCTTGACAGAATTTTCTAATCAATAGCTCAAATCTAGGGAAAGCAGAGAGTAATATTTAAAATGAGCTCAAAGTAGTCTCAGAGTTATTGATTTGATTCCACTACAGCACATTTCCAGCACTTCTGTTCTCTGCGAGTCTTATGGGTATAATTATTCTGTCCTTCAGGAACTATACTGGTTAAAGCAAAAATGACAGAACTGAATAAATTTTGTCTTTTTTTTAGTACCATATTGCCCTTTAATACTGCGTAGGAAGGATTTTTTATCTGTCATTTTTACATACTTAACAAAGAAGGAATGATTGAAAGTGGGTTGCTCTTGACAATTTTCAGGTAGGCTTATTCTTTCATAAGCTGTGCATCCAATATTCTTACATAAACCTAGTATACTTTCTGTTGTCAGGGCATCCCCAAAAATAAAGACAACAATGACTTCACTTTCTCCTGTCAGTTTTTCTACTTATAAGAGAGGATAAAAATTATATCTACCAGCTAACAAACCTACCACACAAGATGCTTGGGAGGATGAACTTGTTGACAAGCTACATTCTGGAAGCCTAGTAAAGATCAAACATCTATTTAAATTTGCAATGCATGTGGATTTCTATAAAATTGTATACATGTCAGTCCCCAATTATAATCTGAAAACAAATAGTTGCTCAAAGTCGAAATTCTCAATTTTTTCTAAATACAAAAGTAGAGGCTTACATTTCAGAGCTATTGAACAGCTGTGAAAATCAGAACACCCTGGGAGCGTGCAAGCCTGCTGCTCTATGCAGCACTAACACACATTCACAGGATGCACAGTAGTTGTCAGGACATTGCTCATTATACTGCTGATGGAGTGTGCTGGAAATTATACTACATTATGTGTGGTATTCTCATCCAACAATCAGAAGAATGGGTTTCATTCTTTCCTTAGGCCAAACAGCATCCGGCTCACATATTTTTTTCCTTGAAGTCGCTCTAACCACAAAACTATGCAAGATGCTCTCCTCCTGCTTTAGTTCATACACTTTCCTATAGGAACATTAGACTAATCAGGCCAGTGACAGAAAATGCAAGACAGCTTATGACTATGTGTCCTCTTTTAGACCTACACAGAAGTCCTAATTAGTTTTTAAAAGTGTTGGAATGTTAGTGTATCTGATGGAGCTTTAGACTCCCTTGAGCTACACCACATGTAGAAGAGTAGAAACATGAAGCAAATATGTAGAACAACATCAACAATTTTGTACATTGGAAGTTCTCTGGGTTTAAATGGCATATCCCTTCTTGTACCCCTTGGAATTCTCTGCACTGTATGATGTGTGCTGTAAGATTTAAAGCACACAATACACCAGATTAAGGCAGAAATCTTGGATATGTTCTTTTTGAAATTTTCACCAGGATCTAAATAAACTGAAATCTCTATCTCATGCATACCATCTTTAAAAATCTTGTTTGGAATTTTATTCTTCGTGTCTGGAAGACATTGAAAAGGATTTTCAAAGCAATGTAGTGAAAGTGCAGCATTCATTTTCCTTAAAAATAAATTCTCCTTCACCAAAGTAGACCCATCAGACATAAATACTCTGTAAGAACAATTTTCAGAAAAAAACCCAGTAATTTTCCATTCATGTGCCAAAAAGACTTCATGCATCTTGATATGCCCATATTCATAAGCACATAGACATATATATATTACAATACCTAAAAAACTCAGACTATATAAAGTAAAAGACTATATGAAGTAGAATACCAACAGGCAGGGTGCTAAGAGAGAGACTGAGATACATCCAGGGACTATTACATCTACATGTAAATATAGTCCAGATAGAATTGTTTCTTATCAGCATGCCATGATTTTGTATTCTGATCAATTATAGAAATTGGCTCAGTCTGAGCAATGTGTTAAATGTATTTTAGTTCCACATTTGTAATTATGCATGCAGCTATATCACTTGATAGTGAGACTACTCAAGCTGGCTCTGCCAATTGAGATCATTTATGGCATACGTCCCCACTATTCTAGTCCCCAGTAATGAAAATGCTTGACTTTGATTTGCTACTTATATTTTCTACCAATAAAACTCATTCCTCTGTCTTGGGAAATACTGATATTTTAGCTGTCCTCATCTGTTCAGAAGACCTACTAAGCAGCATTTTTAAAATTATATTATCTTCATATTATCCCCACAGTCCTCCTTAGCTAACTTCAAAGATAATTAATGAGTATTCCAAACAGGTTTTATTGAGAGTCATCTATCAGTTGGAAAGTTACAGTTTCTATATGTTGCAAATACCCACACATTTGCATCTCCTCATTAGGAAAGTTCCCAATTCTGCTGTACCTCATAAGGGCATATAAAATGATTTTACTAGCAGCTCAGATAACTTTTAATTTAATGATTCCAGAGACCTCGTTTTCTCCTGAACAGTCTAAACTACCATAAAT